GGGGTCCTACTCACTTTCAAGCAGAACCATGCTATTGGTCCAATGGATGGAGAAGCAGTCTGGAAAGATAAGATGGATCATATTTTTCTCAAGGTAATAAACATATAAACATATAGGTGGTGCAAGGGGTTAAACACAGCACTGTGAAGCTGCCCGCAGCCACAGCAGCATGAGTTTGATCCCCAACGAGGGAGCTACCCACATGGCACAGCAAACCTCTCCTGTCTTACCTGCTGCTCCCCTCAGCAGTGTACTTTAGTCAGTCTGCCTGTTCTGTTCCCCAGTCTGTCTCTGGTGAATCCTCTCACCCCCCACACCCTCTGGCCTGTACCCCACTGCTTGCATGCATAAATAAGTAAATCTTTTTAAAACATTTAAAAAAAAAAGTGTACCTGGTCCTCTTTCAGCAACTCATGGTTGGAAGAACAGTTTTTGTTTAATGGAAGTGAGAAAATAACCGTATCAAAAAGACTTCCAGGAGCAAAGACAGAAAAAACAGAGAGTATCAGACAGCCTACTTGGAGTCAGCCGGATATGATTCCCGTGGTGACCAAGTCATAATGCCCCAGGAGCTTGGTGGAGAGAATTGTGCACATCAGGCCAGACAAAGCTGAAAGGGCTGTGAGGATGCTAAGCAGGGAGCCTCTAATCCCTTGGTTATAGGAGTAGTCAGTGGTGATGCAGTCAAATCCCAGCACTGTCATGTAGAGGAAGGCCAAGCCCTAGCAAGCTGGAAAGACTGTCTTTCCAGCCCTGTTAGCACATGTGCAGCAGCCTTCCCATGTTTTGAAGACAGAGAGGAACCCCTGTGGTTTTGGCCTGTTGTTTTTGGGATTAGACCTATCGTCCTTTGCTTTTTCTAAATCTTGTTGAGGAATCTACCAGTGGTTTCTCAAGAATCCATTTCACCTAAAATAAAATCCAAGTAAGCTTAAAGTCAGTACCCCTTAAAGTCAGTATCCCCTCATTACAGCTCAGGCCCCATCTGCCTCTAAGCACCTATCTATCTCTCTGCCTGAGGTTTCTTGCCAGTCGCAGGAACATCAGGTAAGATGTAATGGCTCAAAAATCAGCTAACGGGACCTCCCCTGGTGGCGCAGCGGTTGAGTGCTGGGCTGTGAAGCTGCCCGCAGCCTTTGCAGAGCTGGTTCGATCCCTGGCTGCCGGGTGAGGGTCCCATATGGCACGTAGACCTCTCCTGCCACCCGCTGCTCCCCTCAGCAGTGTACTTCAGTCCTTCTGCCTGTTCTGCTCCCTGCTCTCGCTCTGGTGAATTCTCTCACCCTCCCGTGTTTCTGACTGTACCCAGTGCTTGTATAAATAAATAAATAAATAAATCTGTAAAAATAAAAATCAGCTAACGAATGATAAGACTTGTTAAAGAAACACTCCAGTTTCCTGGGCTCTTGGTGGGACAATTCTGAAGTATGTCCTACATATCCGGTAAGGCTCAGTGGCACTGAGCCCCATCATGGTAACCCACACATTTACACACATTCTACTTGCTTTTATCTCTCCTCCACCTCTCATTTGCTTGCTAGAAGCACCTTCCAAATAGATAATTTATTGCCCTGATTCCTTGTCTCTTGAGAAAACCCAGACTGAGACACCTAGTGAAATCAGGAAGGTGGGCATTAACGTGAGAGAAAGGATATAGGGTAGGGTGAAAGACGGAAGTTCACAGGCTTAAGATGTTGTAAATGGACATAATGATGGATATGTCCTTTGGCTGGCTTTTTTAAAGAAACAATTGTTCATGAAAAGAAAGTGAGAAATACTCACTCCTTTGAGTTTTTCAAGAAAGAACAATGATTGCAAACAGATTTTTAAAATATATAACAATTTGTGAGAGTTATTTAGCACAAATTAAGACAAGATGTGAAAAGGACTAAAGTTGCCAAATAGGGCTGTGAAGGAATAAGTAAAGGTTAGGTGGATCAGATCTATTCTAAGCCAAAAACTGTGGGAAGGGTGAACATCTTGGTTATAGAAAAAAAAATTGTCAGAGCAGATCCCTAAAAAAGAAAAAAATAAATAAAAAGCTAACAATGACTTAAGTTTTCCGATGTATCAAGGATTATCTTATTTAGTTGTCAGAACATCTCCTGAGATCAGTTCTGACATAACGAGTCTGAATAAATTAGCCATCATGGTCACACAACTAATAAGTGACAGACGGAAAGAATTTAGTGCTTGTTCTCTCTCTCTCTCCAGCCAGCCATCCACCACCCAAATATAAATATCTATTTATCTAGCTCTATAAATACATATATTTTATTCATGCAATGAGATTTGGTGAGCTGCAACTGCAAAACAACTTGAGAGAAGAGAATTAATTATAAGAAATCTAGAAAGAGAAATAGAGGTTAGAAGCAATGCTTGGGCTGTATTGTGCCAAGCAGATGGGCAACACTGTCAATAGTCAGAGATGGTTCTTATCTTGGGAGAATGAGGACATATAAAGTTAGGTCGTCCTTCCTCCCATCCTCACCTTAGTGTTACGGAATTTCTTGTTTTAAAAGCATTGCTGGGGCCTCCCTGGTGGTGCAAGAGTTAAGTCTCAGCACTTTCAAGCTATCACCAAACACTGCTGCATGAGTTCGATCCCCAGTCAGGGAGCTTATCCACACAGTACACCAGACCCCTCCTGTCTCACCTACTGCTCCCCTCAGCAGTGTATTTCAGTAGATCTGCCTGTTCTGCTCCCCATTCTGTCTCTGGTGAATTCTCTCATGTCCCTGCACTTCTGGCCTAGACCCCAGTTCTTTTTATTTTTTAAAGATTTATTTATTTATGCATACAAGAACCATGGTACAGGCCAGATGTGTGTGGGGTGAGAGGATTCACCAGAGACAGAGTGGGGAGCATAACAGGCAGATTGACTGAAATACACTGCTGAGGGGAGCAGTGGGGGATACAGGAGAGGTCAGCTGTGCCATGTGGGTCACCTCCCTGGCCAGGGATCGCGCTGCAGTGTCTGCAGATAGCTTCATAGATTGTGTCTTAACCCTTTGCACCACCAGGGAGGCCCCTAGACCACAGTTCTTGTGAGCATAAATAAATAAAATAAATCTTAAAAAAAAAAAAAGCATGGCTGATAGCAAGGATGGCCAATCCATCATAATGCTTTGAATAAAGAGCACCCTATACTTCCTAACACAACTGTCTAGCTTAGCTAGCATCTTTAGGAAAGATGTTTATGAGTGAGATAGGAAGGAATCATCTCCCCAGGACCATGAAATAGATTGTATAGACTATAAGGAAAATTCCCATGGGGGTGTTACTCACATTGGGGTCTCTTTGAATGAAACCACTGAAGTTATGCAGTGCACATGTGTAACTGTACATGGCAGTCCCCACCTGTCCCTGCCAATAAAAGCAGGTATATGAACTATATGACCAATAGCATATTTGAAGGCATATTTGAAGATTGAAGGTGGAGATTATGACAGGACACAATCTCTGAAAAGAAGAAATGAAACACTGACATCATGGATCAAAAACAAAACAAGAGCTGCTCTGAGTGTGCATTACCTTGAGTGTTCACAGCCTCCTGTTATCTTTGTAAGAAGTGACCCCACCCTGTTTGTTGCTGGGGTTTTACAGCCATTTGGGGAACTAGTTGATAAACGCTCCACAGAAATAGAAACTCTACAGAAGTGAAACCAAGTTCCATCCAAGAATGAAACCACAGCCAATCACATGACATGCCCATGTTATCACCTGGCCCACAGACAGGGGGGCAAATACATAGATCTGATCCACATCTCTGCTTTATTTTGGGTGGTGTAATTTAAGCCACACTACATCCAAATAATTGTTGAATTAACTTGCTGTACTGCTGCTGCATTCATTCCTGTGAGAAGAAGGAAACATAGTGTCTCAGTGGATGAGTCCTTCCTCCTGGTGAATGCAACATAGTGCATTCGTGCCCTTGCTAGATTTGCTAGCCAGAAAAGAGTCCTTTCAGTCTAACTGTAGGTTAATCACAGGATTTTTCAACCTAGAGAAGACCTTCAAGAACAGTTGTTGGAACTTGAACAATTAACACATGAGTAAGCTGAGAAGCAGAAAGATTAGGTTACTAGTCTAGGTTACTAATTATTCTAACTTGTGTCTCAGCACTCTTGTCACACCCCATTATCTTAACAACAATAATAATATTAATACTATTATTATGACTAACTTGTTGACAGGGGAAAGAGGTAACAAAGGAAGAATAAAGGACAGAATTAGTTGAATATATATATTGTGCCAGATACTAGTTCAAAGTCTTCTACACATGTGCATCTCACTCACCCTCACAACTTTAAAGCCAATTGTATCTCCACTTTACAAATTTAAAAACTGATGTATAAAAAGGTGAAGTAACTTGCTCAAGGTCACAAAGAAGATAAATGGTGGGGCTGGGACTCATACCCAGGCAAAATAATGCCAAAGCATTCTTTTAACTATTCCACCATCTTGAAAACTATATTTATAAGATCATTTGAAAAAATATAATGAACCACAAGCATTATATTTTTATAATGAAAATAAAATAAATGTATTTTATTTTCAATTTCTTTGAAATTAATTACAGAAACTTTGAAGCTTTTCTTTTACCCAGAAACACAGGATACTTTCAAAACCATGTCACCCAGCTTTTACCCACATCCCTGCTTTATTTTGGGTGATGTAATTTAAGCCACAGTACATCCAAATAAGTGTTGTTTGAAAGAAAACATGATTATAAGGGGCTTCTACTCTTTGTAAGGAGTATATTTTAATAGACTCCTCCGTAATAGCTTCCTTTATCTTGGCTATCAATGCTCATGAAAATTTTCTATCAGGGAGTACCAATCGCACAAATATAGGGTAGGATAAGAAGTGCAGTATTAAGTTCACAATTTGAGTCTATCACCATATGAATGATCCAAATTTTACAAATGGAAGAAAAAACAGAAGATGCCAGATTCTTCATTTTGTTTCATTACTGAAAACAATAATTCTATCTTTCATTATCACTGAAAATGATAACTTTGGGGGATGAACTTTTTTTTGTGGGGGAAGTGGAAGCTTATCATGGGCCAGAATGTTGAAACTCTTAATTCCTTTTTTTTTAAAAAAAACAAAATTGCCTTCTGTATGTATGTTGAGCGTTTTTTCTCTTCAAAGTACAGTCTATATCTCCTTAGGAATAATTTCATCTATTTCTCACATGGTTCCTATGTACAGGTAGAGTGTGCTCAGTGCTTCACAAATCCTTTATCTCACAGAATTCTTCCCCAAATGGAGCTGGGGTTGGGAGTTGAGAGGTAGTGTCATTGTTTCTCCTATTCTACAGATAAGGGAAGTAAATATAGAGAAGTTAAATAACTTGTAGCTTGTAAGAGCTGTAACTGATTTGAGCTGGACTCAACTACAAATACCTCCCTTGGGGCCCTGATTGACTCATAGACTCACTAAGCCTACTTACAGTCAATCAAAGGACTCAGGATGCCCAAAGTGGCACCACTCACCAAAGAGCTGGCATTTGCTTTTCACCTATGAGGCTGACAATCCAGTCCCTTTGGATGGAGGTGGTCTGTGCCGTGCTGGCCAGGTTCACCAAAGTCCCCAGGGTGATGACAGCTGCACAGGAGACCACCTACAGAAGGAGCATTAAAGGGAGCTTGGAATCCAAGAATAGGCTTTCTCAGCCCATTGTGCTATGTGTGGCTATTTACCTGACAAACAACATCTACATGAACACAAAGAGAAAGAAGTTCAGGGCAGGTTTGGAGCCAAATGCTATTGTGTTGATTCTAAGCATTTTCTCCTCCCCACCTCATTAGCACAAGATCCACTGCTAATTTGTACCCTGCAGACAGAGACTCTGCGGTTCTGTTGCCTTCATGTCTGTTGGATTTAGGCTCTGATCCACAAATTAGGGGTGAGGAGAACACTGGGGAAAGATTAGCCAGATCCAAAACCAGTGAGCAGGGTTGTATAGAGATGACTCACTGAAGGACAATTGGGCCTTGTCTCTGACACTCACCCCTCCCAGCACAGGAAGGAGATGTGGGACACTCACTGTGAACCAGCCGTGCCAGAGCTGCTCCATCTCCCTTTTGCGGAAACATGAGCATCAGGATAACACAGCAGGCAGTGACAGAAGCATTCTGAGTGGAGAGTGAGGCATGAACAACTGTAAGTGGAAACACCAGGGAGCCCAATATTTTCCCTTGCTTTTAAGAGATAGGTCGCAGCCACATCATCATTTAATGCAGAGTAATTGCATTTGACCAGATCCCTGTGCCACCCGGGGTTACTGTCCTGATCAGTAGTGACTTGCTTGAGTAGGAGACAAAAGCAGGCTCCCGTGTTCACTAGAGGCAAAAGTCTTTGCAACCTCAAGGAAAAAACAAAGGCTGGCTTTTGCAAGATGAGAACATACTTTGAGAGGACAAGAGACTAGACAAATCAAAGAACTTAAAATTTACTACTGATGTATCACACACTTCTGGATTGAATTCGTGACTGAAGTTATCAACATGGCCACACTCCAAAGTTTATATAAATTGGCATTTTCAATTGTGCAGCTTCAGAAAAATGCCTTTCCAAGCTGTAGGTGGAACGAAAACAGTTGAGTTGGCCAGTAATCAAAAGAATGGGAAAAACATAGGAACTATGTTTTTTTACCCATAGGAACTATGGGTAAAAGAGTGGTTAAAAAGATATTATATCCAAGAGCAGAAAGTATCTCCTATACTCCAGATACTAATTCCTAGTTTAGAGAGATTAACCTGGTACAAAAGAAATTATTGTTTTTAATGAAAATTAGAAGTTGTTCTTAATGAAAATAACACAAGTATATTATACGCAGGTAATACCAGAATATTACAAAGAAGCCATGTTTTCAGGAATTTAATATTAAAAATCTGTGATGGAGAAATTAAAAGATTTTAAAGGTAGCACTGGAGGATGACACAAACTTGTATAACTTTTTCTAGTGTTTTTAAATGTTATGCTCTATTCTATTAAGTTAATGTCTCTATTTTATTTCACTAAATAAACCCCCAAAAAACTAGTTAGGTAATAATGTATCGTATATGTCATGGGTAAGAGTATTAACTTTATTTCTTGGTTTTCTGTCAACCTAATCACCTGTTAAGACCCCAAATATTAATGAAGATCCAGCTACCACTAGGCCCAACAGTGTGTGAGGAGAAGATTGTGTCTATATAGTGCTTTCAGGAACATAGATATGGCAAAGTGCCACATCTGGTCTGCCTACAAGATAGTAGAAGAAAAGCATGTTTTAATCATTGACCTAAAAGATGGAACAAAGATAAAATCAAAAAAGATGCATTTCTCCCAAAGGATGTAAAACATGCAGAATTTAAATTCAAAATGTCAAAATTATATATTTATGCAGTAGAGCTATAACATTTTAATATAATACAGATATACTTCAAAAAGTTGACCGAATATATGTTAAGAGATTTAAAAAAAAAATGAAAAAGAAAAAATGCCAAAGAGCCAAGAGGCCCATGAGAAAGTATCAGATGAACACTGTGAAAACAGGAGAACCTAAAGTAGCAAGCCCAGGTTACCCTAAGAAATTTGCTGTTTTGTCAATCTGTGGGAGATTTCACTCATTGCTTTGATAGATTGCTAGAACAAGGATAAAACAGAAATCTATATTAGATATATACTTATATGTACTTCATATATTATGCATGTGTGTGTTGTACTAAAGGGTTACATAAATCACTGCATCTGGCACCTGCAGAATACACATGCTTTTAAGTACATGAAACATATGGATAAATCAATAGGATAATGTATCATAAAGCAAATCTTAATTTCTAAATATTGAACCATATAGAGGATGTTCTCTGACCTCAAGACAATTAAGCTAAAAGTCAATAAGGAAAAAAAAATCAGAAAATCCCCATGTGCTTGTAAATTAAGAAATACATTTCTAAATAATTCATATGTCAAATAAGTAATCACATAGGACATTATAAAATATTTTTAACAAAGGATATTGAAACTTGTCAGATTTAGCTAAAGTTCTCCTTAAAGAGAAATTTTGTACTCCTGAATACTTGTTAGTAAAGAAAGACTGCATTTAATGAGCCAAGTATCTATACTAAGAAATTAGAAACAGAACCGCAAATTATATATCCCCTAAATAGAAGAAAGTCAATATGAAAGGCAAGGGCAGAAATTTGTGAACTAGAAAAAAGAGATACAATAGCAATAAAGTAAATTGTGGTGTATTATACAATGAAATACTATATACATCAATGGAAAGTAGCAAACAAGGGCTGCATGCAACAATATGCATGTTACAAATTTAATGTTGAACAAAAGCAATAAATGTGTGTAGTAGGATTTCATTTATACAAAGTTCAAGCTATACTTGAATTAAATTAAACTATATCATTTAAGGATGCCTACACTCGTGATAAAGCTATAAAGCAAAGCAAGGAAGTGAATGCCCTAGAAATGAGGCTCGTGGCTATTTCTCATTGGTGAGGAAGGAGCATGATTGAGCAGGGCCCCACGAAGGACTGGCTGCTGCCAAATTTTCATTTTTACTTGAGTGGTGGTTTCAAGGTTTACACTGTAATCATTCCTTATACATATTTTATGCACTTCGCTCCATTTGTTCATTCAAAATATTTAACATTAATATGCACACTTTATGTGTGATATTTTGAGACATCCTTACTGTCCTTAATATTAGTACTATTAACCATTCCAAATACATGATATTGTTTTGATTCATCTTACCCATATTGACTCATGAGGTAGATCAAAGATGCTCCTAAAACACATATAATGACAAATGTCATTAAGTAGCAAAAATATATACTCCTTTCAAGCAAATTCTGTCAGTTAACTCAGTGAACGTAAAATCCTGTTTTGTGTGAATTTACCTTTACAAAGTGGCCCGGTGCTAAATAAAAATACAGGCAACAGAAAAGCAACAGTTTTGACTAACCAGTTAAGGGATTCTCGGGGCTTCTATTTCTTCTTTGGTCACTAAGTGACCCAGGGAAATATTCAACCATGTCCCTTTTCTCACGTCTAGAGGTGGAGACAGAGAAGTAAGTGAGCCAACACACTGTAATATGAACTTTCCAGGAAGTAGGTTCAGTAAAAAGAAAGAAAGCAGAAATGGCACCCATGTCAAGATGGGAAGGTAGGACAGAGGCTCACGGTGGACATTTCCTCTGAGCAAATCTGAGGAATGGGAGTTGAACTAATAAGGAAGTTGGAGGGTAGAGACAGCTTCCTACCTTGAGAAAACCAAGAGAACAAAGGTCTGGAGCAAGGAAAAATATAAGTGCAAATAAGAAATTTAAATTTGGGGGTAAACCGTGCAAAGGTTAAAAGGGAGCAAGAAGGGGAGAGGATGGAGAAATCCAGAGGCAGATTCCCTTTTTCCCAGAAGGAACAACGAAGGTGGTCCTGTCTGGGTTTTTAGCTGTAGGGATCTCAACCCTGGCCCTTTTAGACACGCCCTCTGTAGACCGTCTGTCTCAGCTATTCACCCAGGAACCCTCTCTCCTGCTTCCCTTGTGCCCATCTTGATCATCATCTTGTACTCATATTCCTGACACCCTCACCAGAACTGTACCCCATTCCCATCTGTGTCAGTCCGTAATATCCTGGTTCCCAACCTGCAACCTCTCATATCTCTTACTTATTTTAGAGAGCCCTATTCAGAAAGTCTTCTTCATCTGCTCCCACCACCCTCCACCTATCTGCATTGCTACAGGGAAGATTTGAATAAAGCTCAGGGGTTAGAGGTTAAGACTATAATAGACCTATAAAAGACCTAGGAAACTTAACTACATATCTTTCAAAAGTGCTGTAAGAATTCCCATTTGAAAAGTTATTTGGGATTGAGCTCCTGGTATACTAGTCCTCTTCTCAATTAGACAGCCAGCCAAGGACTCTGACATTTAGTTTGGAGTCGAGAGCCTTCTCTGTGAGGCAGGCTTCTCTAGTTTACAGATCTAACTTTATCCTCCCTCCCTACGCATCCCAATCCTCAATTCACATGTAACAGTGTGAAAAAATGAACAAGAGATGACATTTTTTATCCACAGTTGTGGTAATTATAATACTAATTGTGTATTTGAAATAGTCAACACTTTGGAAATATAATTAGGAAAAATTAAGATGCACCCACACTCTGGAAGAGAGAGATGAGAAAACAAAGCTAATTGTTTTGTGACTTTTAAATTAGTAAAATCAATTGAGATTTTTGTGGAACATTGTCATATAAAAGAAAAAAATGTTGCTTAATTATCTTTGCTTATTTTTTTAACCTCCCATTTTACTTAATTGAAACCACTCTGCTCAGAGGAACGGTGCAATTTCAGATGGTGTGAGTACAGCGGTATCCCCTCCACAGGGACAGTCTGCCCCTTTCTCAAGAAGGGCTTCCTAAAGTAATGTCTACCCAGAGACTAACCTAAATTACTCTTCTCTTACTTTATTCTCCTGCTGCTTTAGTCTGTTTGCAGCTTTAGTCTGTTTTTACTCACTTCCAGAACTTTCAGTGTCACTTAATTCTCCAATCATTACTACACGCTAGGAAGAAAAAATTCAGTAATGAAAAATACATTTAAACTACTATAATAATCCTAAACAGGAGGAAGTCAATGTGTTTTAACTTCTTTCCAACTGGATTCCTCTAAAACTATTAAAATTTCATTTATTCAACTGCAGAAAGTAATCATGTAATCAATTACAAGGACTTTATTGCATATACATAAAGTCATAGCAATTGTTTTTGATAGATAGAGGCCTATTACTAATACTGTTCAAAGCCAATTGTTTTGGGGAAAATAGGCAACCAACCATAATCAGACTCACAAATTTGTCACACACACACACACACAAATGGTTAAAGAGATGTTTGGACAAAATTAAATGAGCTGTCATTTGACCCAAGAATAATGGGGTGAGCAATTTGTCTGTCTTTAATATGTTAGTTCTCTGACTTGTATGTTTTTGACAGGGCAAATTTATTAAGCTGGTATAAATAATGCCAGTTATAAATAAAAACTTCATTACATTTTCATAAACATATATTCCTGAGGAAAAAATTCTTGCCTCTGCTAATGACTATTGTACCTCTACAGTTAAAACAAGGAATTTCTGAAACTTTTAGGGTTGTGCTTACCAAACACAGACAGAAAGAAGGTTTGGATGGTTCACTGGACTCCCAGAGGTTGCACAGAAAGATGAATTACAAAGCAGAACTTCTGAACCACTCACCGGCATTGTCACCACAGGTGCTTTGTGTAGAAAGTGCTGGAGGTGCCAATGTTTCCTGTGGGTACTTCTCTTACCTCAGCCTAGACAAGGACAAGAGATGACCAAAACATCCCTATCTTGTAAAAGCCTAGGACACAGGCAGGAACACTTGTTAAAATTCTTAAGGAAAGTTTTATTCTGTGCTTTTAGAGACAAACAAGAGAAGGCTTTCTGCAAAATTAAGTTTCAACATGTCTCCAGAAAGCATCTGTGCTTAGAGAGGGCTCCCATAGAAGGTGCTGGCTCCCCAGGTCCAAACCATCATCTCTCTTCCCCTCCACCCCTTCCCCTTTGAAGCTCTGCTACTCATCTGCTGCCTTGTCCCCTTAGCAAACTGTGCTGTTGGCCCATTCTCGAGGAATCCTACTGAAGATTAAGGCCAACTACAAGTGTTAGGCTGGCCCTCCTAGATTGTTTGGTCTTTTTTCTAAGAGTAAGCACAACCTAACTGAAAGGATTCCATTTTTTAACAGAAATTTCAAGAATCAATATTCTTTTTTTTTTTTTTTTTTTTTTTTTTTGCTTGGGTGGAAGAGGGTGGACTTGGGGATGTTTCAGTTCTTTGGTTCATAACTTAATGGGTGATATTCAGTATCAGCTGTGGACCAACAAAGACTTCTTTTTTCCTTTCCTGAGACCTTAGAGAATTGGGTACAGGATCCTTGAGGCCCTAATTCCTACCAGTAATTAGCTAAAATACTTCTCTCAACCCAGCTCAGATTCTTGAAACTGCCTCCATGTTGAGTCTACCACATTTAATGGCAGAGTAAATTAAGAAGGCTAAGATTTTAAATGTTCTACCAAAGAAAGTATTTGATTTGACACATTCCAAATAAATTGTTTAAATGTTGCTACAAATATTTCTGCTACAGTAAATTGGCCTTGTTTTCAGAAATATTTATGGTACCATACATTTGTGAAAACTCTTTGCCCACCCAAGGGTGCTGTATTCCTGGTTAAGTGGGGAGATCAGTAGAGTGAGAGACCTGCAGGATGGTAGGATAAGTAAGGGCAGGGCTCACATCCTCTGTTAACCACCCTACAGCTGGTCCCAGGAACAGACCCAGCACAGAACAGGTATTAGAGGAAGGAGCCCATTTGCTATATTTACAAGTATAAAAATACAGCAATCCACCAAGCCCTTGGTTTGTAGGACAAAGGATAAAAAGGACACATCCCAGTTTTTATTTTTATGCCCATACTCATTATGCACGTGGAACAAAAAAGGAGCAGGCAGGTCTTTCAAAAGGAAAATATTCCCTAAGTAAATGAGAATAGTAACACAACTTTGAAACTGTAGGTGCTTTCTCTAAGCAGGATTCTGCAGGAGTCAAAAAAGCGAATGTAGTGTTCTAGGCAGAAAGCTGATGATACCTGGGAATGAAAGGAGAATTTGATAGTGCCTCAACAAAAGGTACAGATACACATACACTGTATTATAGGTGTATATATGTACACACAAATATACATGCACAGTATATATAAACATACATATGCATATGTACATATATTTAACCAAAGATTCTGGTGATCTACCTCAAACTTTCAAAGATAAATCAGAGATGCTTTGATTATGACTAGAGAAACAATGAGGTTCAGCTATAAATAGGGAACAAGGAGAAAACTATTCATTCTGTAGCAGCCAGCTTCCCCAAAAGCACCTTTCTCTACATGTAATATAAAAATCATTTCAAAATTTACCATTTATGCTTTTCATATCTTTCAAGAACAAAACTGACATACCCAAAGTCAATATTAAAAGAGGAGAAAAGAAATGAATCACAAGTTCCTGAGAAGTCAGTACTTCTGCTTTTAAAAGATGTTTCTTCTCTTTGTTGGTTGTTTGGGGTTTGTTTTTTTGTTTGTTTTGCTTTGTTTTTTTACTGTTGTTTTAAGTAAGAGAGTTTGGGAGTTGGGGAATTGCTATGAAGCTGTACATGATAATTGGTGGGTTTTTATTCTCCACAGGAGAATATTTTCCCCCCTCACTGAACATACCTGATAAAACCATGTTCTTGATTTAGTGCCCCAGAGGTAATTGAAATCTGAGGTGAAAAGCTAATGGAGCTCAAGGAGGAAGCACTGGAAAGCACTGGACAGATGAGAGAGCCAGTCTCTCCCCAGGCATGCATAGTCCAGTTTAGACAGATGCAATTTTCCACCCTGAATGAACTCCTTCTACAGAAACGGATAGTCCATGTTCTCCCAGGCACAGGAATGCTGTTACCTGAGCCACAGCACAGGCTCTGGAGTAAAAATGCTTTCGATCAGATTCAGGCTCCTCCACCCACAAACCATTTAGCTTCAGTCAGTTCACTGATGTCTTCAAGCCTGTTTCTCAGCTCTAACACAGAGGTAATAATATTTACCACAGAATGGTTAGGAAGATGAAACAAGAATGATAATGCATGAAGATGCCTAGAAGAGTATCTGGTAGAGATAGTATTCAAAAGAGCATAGTTACTGCCATTTATTATTAGCAGCAGTGCATATTCAATCATCATCATCCTACTCAAGGAGTTTGGTCTAACCTGAAGTAAAAGTGTGCAATGGCGATCAACATGGGAAAGGCAATACATAGTTTTGGGGAATATAAAACTAAAACTCATATACACTCTCTCCTCCCTTTCTCTGTGCCAGACTATCATCCTAAATCTTTGGGATTAATCTAGGCATTCCCCTGGGATTAACTAGTTGAGTCCCTCCAAGCATGATGCATAGTGATACAAACATAGAGCACAACAGAAAACAGAGTTCTACTCTATTAAATTAATTCTCAAATAGTCTGTGCACAAAGATTCTCATTAAGAATTCAAACAATACAGATATGGGCAATCTTCCAGAGGCTCTTCTAGAACCTTCTAAAGCATTATTATTGTTTATAGAAAATATACACTATTTACTTTTGTTCACATAAATGGACTGTTTGACATCTGTTTTTTCCATTCAGTAATGTCTGGAGATTTTCCCATATTAGTATATATAAATAGTCTGCTTTATTCCTTCTTTTCAATGTGTGTCTATTCCTAATAATTATCAATAGTTGATTATCACTAATAATTGGATTATTTCTGAACTGTTTGTT